CACACACACACACACACACACACACACACACACACACACACACACACGCACACACACACACGTTCAAAAATAGAACCTTAAAGAGCACATTTATGTTTTTTGAAGTCCACAAACACACACACACATATAAAGAAACCCACTTCTGGTCTGTGTACTTGTACACACACAGTACACACAGCAGGACCTCGGTGGTCCGTCCTATAGGAGCAACGGGCCAGTGGGCGGAGCCGACCCGTCCAGCACAGACGCTATTATTGGCCGTTTCATTGTGGTTTGAACGCCGGGCGAGTCTGAGGAATGTGTGTTGGTATGTGTGTGTGTTTGTTCCAGAGAGGAGAACTTAGTTGATGCATATGTGCGTGTGTGTGTGTGTGTGTGTGTGTGTGTGTGTGTGTGTGTGTGTGTACGCCACATGTGTGGACTTTTCCTTCTGTATAATCACAGATGTAGCGGTGGATGAATACACTTCTACTAATTCAAATCTATATAAAGCATTTGTTGAAGGGCTGCAGTATGTTAGAAGTTTGTGGGAAATTTAAGAAAATGTAAAAGTTAGATTGCAAAAGTAGAGGATCCCAGTTGGTTCCCTGTGGAACCCCTTTTTATAAAGGACCTTTGGGTTTTAACGCAATCTTTTACAAAGTAAAGCGTCTTGGTAGAGTTGTTCTGATGCTGATACAAGTATCAGAAATACCTCCGATTCAGCCTAAAATACTGGATCAGGTATCCTCGAGTACGTATCTGATATCACGTCATCACGTAGGCTAGGTTAACGTAGATCAAAGGTTCTTTAAGGTTCTATCTGTGTCTCCTGCAGGTCTTCCACCCACTTCAAGGTGAAGGCTCAGGTCCGAGTGTGTGAGATGTGGACGGCCGGCTGCATGGACGAGGTGTGTGAGGGCAGCACCAACCCGGAGAGGAGCTTCGTCATGGGCTGGCCCACCTGCAACTGTGTGGCCACCTTCAGGTACAAACTCACACAAACATACAACATGAGTTTAATCAAATGTAACTCACCTTATATAACTTCATTCAGTATATCTGCTTGCATTACATGACAGTAGTTCACGCCCAACATATTTATATAACGCTTCTCTGTGTCGCTCCGGTATATTATTTGAAAGCTTACGTGTGAAGGCGGTTCCCAGTCGTAAAGCCACTCAATGCAATTGCAGTAGATAACCACACACGCACATGCAACACACACACACACACGCACACGCAACACACACACTCACACACACACACATACGCAGCGCTGCATGTTTGCACCTTTCTCGATGATGAACTCTTTCACACGCTCACTCGTTACGTTCTGCATCAGGAGGAATCCAGTCACAGCCGGAGACGAAGTCTGCGGTTCAAACATTACGTAACAGATCAAAACAGACAGTTGCTTTCAACACGATTTCCTCTGATTATGTTTCATATCTCTCTCTCTCTCTCTCTCTCTCTCTCTCTCTCTCTCTCCTCCTCTTCAGCTCTGAGGAGCACAAGGACAAGTGGTTGGCACTCATCAAAAGGTAAATGTGTGGTTTGGCCTCCTGCTAATACTTTGTGGTTTGTTTTTTGGTGTTTTTGCTTTTGTTTCATCTTTCAAATCAGAATTGAAAGATGTGATTCAGATTGAACACAATGGCTTTAAATAAAAGCTCAGTATGAGTGTGAATAAATGCATGCTTTACATTGTATTTACAGCTCAGATAAAGTGATATTGTGCATGCATTAACACGTGCTTCATGTACTTTGTTTTATTCTCTGCACACAGTCGGATAGTTGCGGGCAAAGAGAAGGACGACCCCAAGACCGTCCCTCTGAAGATATTTGCAAAGGATATTGGAAATTGTGCATACGTAAGACTCTCTTCTGTGATTTGCTTCCATCAGCACAAAAATGAATATCGTCTGATTTGTCTGTCCTTCATTGGGGAATGAGTGACATGACCGACAGTGCTGCCATTTATGTAACACACAGCTAACTAGACTTTTCCACAATGTTTCTGAAATGTGTCCACTAGGCCAAGACGCTCGCGGTCAACAACACTGACAGCACCACTGATGTCATCCGCATGGCTCTGCTGCAGTTCGGCATATCGGTGAGTCGAAGTCTCTCAGCTCGATGTCCAGGACGCTGGAAATAAGATTCGTTGAACATCGACCTCTGGTGGTATCGGTATTAATGATCCAAAACAAAGTACTACTTGAGCGTGAGGAGGGACCGGGACCAGGACTTGTTGGCTAAAGTGAAGCTGGTTTGCAGACTCGAACCAAACTCTCCTGTTAAAGTATTTTTAGATGTTTCTTTACAACACAGACGTTCATGAAGGAAGCTCCACAAGTAAAACTCAGGCAAAACATGGAAAAGTCATTTTCTTTGAAATGTAAAAAGAGGAAAGTGTTGAAGTGGATTCTCTGTGTTTCTCTGTCCAGGGCTGCGTTAACGACCACCGGCTGTGGGTGAACTCCAGTAAGGACGACCCTCCGTACCCTCTCATCGGTGAGCACCTGTCGTACACGTGTGATGTAAAACCTTCTTTAACACTTCTACCTCTTCACCTCTTTAAGATGCTCTTAAGGAAGGTTCTTCACCTCCACCGCTGTGGGATATGACAGCGGTGATGCTTAAAGATCTGAATGCATGCTCACAGTTGCATCTTTCATGCAGTCACTAAAGTTAGACGTCCCTCTGATGAGGACTATTTCAGAAACTAACATCTGGGAGCAGTTAGTTTTGCGTCCGTGACATTCTGTTAATCTTTTGTTCTGAATTCCAAACATCCCGACTCCAGGCGGCCGGTTTGGTCGCCGCATGGGACGAGTTCTGCTCTCACTCATATCGTATTCTTTTGGCTCCACGTCACATACCAGACCCCTGACCTCTAACCTCTGACCTCTCATTCAGGCCACGAGTTCCCCTTCAGCATTAAGATGAGCCACATTCGGGACGGTGGGAGCTCCGCTGGCGGAGGACCAGGGTGGGATCCGACGAGTCCCACGGACTGTCCAGGGGCGCTGCTGCTGGACCAGTGTCTCCCTCCAGACACCCAGTGCCAGTTCATCCTCAAGCCCAGCAAGGTCTCCCCGGGACAGGCTCCGCTCTCAGGTGAGACAGCCGGTCTGGAGGGTCCGTTCTGGGGGGTTCGACCCCTTTCTTTAATGAGGTCACATCAACAGTTCAGTAATTAAAGGGACACAGAAGCAAACACTGATGACACCAGAAGTTTGCTTTTTTTTACCCGTCGTAGCATAACACGTGGCCGTCATGCAGTTATTTCTGTTTCTTTTAGTGTGAATAAAAAAGCATGTTCTTGCAAAAGTTGCAAAACAAATTAGTAAACGTGCTTTCAAACCAAACAAGCCTAACCTCAGGTCCTCAGGTCCTATTAAAGGTTCAGCGTTCTGGGTTTACAGTCAACACGCAGCAGTTAAAGTATGTGTTGTGAAAAATATGAGTTTCTTTCCATCAACATGTCAGTTGAGGTTTTTTTAAGTCGAGTGTCGAGAATCCGTCCGTGAATCTCATTCTTTATGAAACCACGAGAGGACATATGAGGATGCAGAAGTAGCAATGCGGGACGGAATCTCTGTGTTGATGCTCGTCGTGAGGATGAGTCAGCAGGTGAGGAGGAATCAGAGTCAAGGAGAACGGTGGGAAAGCAGTTAGCGGACGAGGGGTCACAGCGGGGGGGTCACGAGAGACGCAGAGTCGGAATAAGAAAAACAGCAGACGGACAAAGAGGAAGAAACCCCAGAAGAGACGGACGAGAGAGAGAGGAGGAAGACGGAAAGTGAAAAGTGATGACACAGCTATTGAGAAAGTCTGAAGGCCAGCGGAGGTGAAGGAAAGAGAAACA